TCGAAATCGCTTCGCTCAAAACAATAAATAACCTTCTTTTCGGGAGTGTGGTCCTAGGTCACGTGAGCAGCTTCATTTATGATGTCGAAACAAAACACACGTGGGCTGTTGAAACTTTCTGTTCGACGTCTGGTTCCCGGTGGCTTGTACCATTATAGAAAGAATACTGATACCGCTATATTTGAGAATAAAAGCTTGTGAAATTAATTTATGCAATCAAAACGGATATTGCTATACCCCGCAAACCCCCTATACCCCGCAAACCTCCAAAAAACCATAGCAAACCCCATCCAAACTCTGTGATAATAATTGAATCACATAGTATAGGACTCAACTTGGTATCTCAATAAAAAAAAAATCTGAGTTTTATGTTCGTCACAACCCATTTTTGGGGTAAAAAGGCCATTTTTTGTATTAAAAAAGTGCTAAACAAGCAAACCCCCCAAAAACACAGTGCAAACCCAGATGTGTATAAGAGACAGATGATGGGAAGAATGTCATGTGACCCATTTGTCACAGTGACTGATTGGCTATTTTTGGAAATATTTTTTTATATAACATTGAATATATCTTTTACTACTGTAACTGTGTATGTACCAATTATTGATTTTTTTGATACCATTTTAGAATGAACTCACTCGAGAACAGATAGCTTAAATTGCAAAATCCACTTTTTCTGGAAGTTGATGTCCATTTTCACCCCGTCTGTCATGCCAACATTGAATTTCCACCATGCACTCCTTCAGCCACTATTTCTATGGGTGTTTTTTTCTATCGAATTATGACATATGACCTATAACTTGCAATAACATTTTTTGGCTATGTCATACACTTATTTTTCTACAGACTTCCAAAAAAAAAAAAATATTATATGTATAAACTGTCCCGTCTGTCATGCTGGAGATAGCCTACATTATGTGATATGGGATGCACTGAGATTTTGATATATGGAGCCTGGTAACCTTGTTTATTTGCACCTTTTGTATTACAATATTATGTTTTGTTGTTTTTTCCAAATTTTAAGAATTACTAATTAAACTATACCAAAACAAAATGGATAAGTAGAAAATGTCTGTATGTACTTTAAACTGTATGGCCGGACAAACTGTAGTACAAGTCACCAAAGTATTAGTTATTGTACCATGTTCTCGTCAAGTCAAGATGGTAAATTATTAGGGTATTACATTTTTTGTTACATAATCAAACATACCTGCAGTAGTTAACTATAACCCTGGTTCTTAATTAATTTGTTCAAAAGGCCAAATTATTTTTAGAGTTGATCTGACGGGCCAAAGATAATCTCTCGAATTGAAAGCAATCGTTATACATCGGGTAAATCTGTTTCCGCTAGGATAGGTCTATTTGAAAGTATGCTAAATACTGTATGACTTAAAATGAAGGCTATTGACGAAACACAATGATCAGAACAAAACACAGAGACAGAACTTGGCAGCATTGTGTCCTATACTGTATTAAAATGTATTTTTATAAGCACTGTTCTTGGGTTCACTAGCTGTCTATTATCATGCAAAATATGTACGCTTAAAATTGACAATAAAACCCAATAACCGTTTTACCTCTATGATTTATAACAATGGGGTTCTTCTACCATGGGTCATGTATCAGGCATTAGGACTCTGCAATCCTTAAAATTTTAATATGTCTATGATAAAATTTTTACTTCCTCTTGGCTACTATGTTTAATTTAGCCAAGCTAATAAGAATTAATACCAACCTTGGGAGCATTTTGACTTTTTTTTTATATACCTTAAAACCTGGAATTGAAGCCCTGGGCTTTGGATGTGCTTCTTTTCAAGATGGGCTACTTTTCGAGATGGGCATTTTTTTTGACTGCTTTTGCAAAATAAATAAAGGGGCTTCTT